TATATATACATGGAGGAAAAAAAATGTGTGTGTGTGTGTGTATAACGTAGACATGTATTTAGCTTATCTTCAAATATGGTTGAGCAGAAAATGTTTTATATTTTATACATATCTTTTGACTCAGTATTTAAATTCTATGATATCTGAAAATAAAGGCATTCTGGAAAAGTACTGACTGATGTTGGTGCAGAAGTGAATATCAAGTAAAAGTATAGTTTTGAAAGGGAATGGCAGAGGTGTGTTTCCCTTAAGAGGTGAAGAGTCATTTTATTCTTCCCACTAGTAAACATCAAACTTTTCAGAATAGCTAGTTTTTGGGGTTGGATTAGAAAGAAAATAATCACCGGCTGGATGCGGTGGGGCTCTTGCCTGCAATCCCAGCACTTTGGGAGGCTGAGGCAGGTGGATCACCTGAGGTTGGGAGTTTGAGATCAGCCTGACCAACACAGAGAAACCTCATGTCTACTAAAAATACACAGTTAGCCAGGTGTGGTGGCACATACCTGTAATTCCAGCTACTTGGCAGGCTGAGGCAGGAGAATCACTTGAACCTGGGAGGTGGAGGTTGCAGTGAGCCGAGATCATGCCATTGCACTCCAGTCTGGGCCACAAGAGGGAAACTCCATCTCAAAAAAAAAGAGGGAGGAGGAGGAAGGAAGGGAAGGACCAAATTTGTTACTCAAGAGAGGAAGAAATCTCTTAATACTTATATTTATGAATGTTTAGGAAACAACATGAAAGCTGAAAATTTATTTCACTAATGTACATATAAGTTCACAACAATGTACATAAGTTCACAACAATGGACAGAAAATAGCAGTATATACAGAATTTCACTACTTACAGTACATTACAATAGAGAAAGCATTTTATAAACAATTCAGTATTGGATCAAAATCCTTTAAGGATGGCTAATTCTATTCAGCAGGAATCTAACTTGTAGACACCCAGCAAACCCATTCCTATCAGGGTAAGAGAGGGCTCTCGCTGTTGCTATAATGTACTGTAAAAATATTTTATCTCTTATAAATCAAATGGACCACAGCAACTTCTAAATGAAGATAAAATTCAATGTATTTCTAGTATTATTAAATTTCAGATTTTTAACTTTGGATTGCAATTGTTTTAAAATAGCAATTTAAATGTAACAGTGTTTACTTTGACCATAGATAAATTTTTATAATAAAGGTAAAACTCTTTTTTTCTTTTTGCAATAGTATGAAGCATTTAGAAGCATGGTACTATGTATCTCTTTTATCTACATTTTCCCTGGCCCCTCTAGTTCTACATCTAAACAGAACCTGTAATGTAGACATTATGATTATTTGAACATTTTGTTTTCCTTCAGCATTATACAATAAGATAAAATGCATATTTAACATTAATGAAGAAAGTTGTGTGAGGGTGGGTATATATCTAGGAAATCACTACTGGTTATTGGCTTCTCATCAATAACTACAGTAAGTGCCACATACTTTTGTTTCAGAAACCACCCATTCTACATAAAATCTAATTCCTTTATCATCTGTGGCTTTGTTATTACAGAATATCTACATAAGTATTTATTTGCCTTTCTTCATATCAGATTTATTTACTTTAAAAGCCCTTGATAAGTAGTAAAATATTTAACTGCTTTTCTTAACCATACAAGTCAGAATTCAATTTTAAAATTCTATGAAAAATTTTAGGATAACAAATATAACTAGAGTCTTAATTATTTGTGTTAGGATTCTGTGAGCCATATTTCAGCTTATTATTCTCAGCAATCCCCAAATTTGATTGTCTGTTCTACCACAGTAAGCTTAACCAGTTTTATTATATAATGCTTAGTAAGTACCCCCTCCCCCGAAGTGATGATGGAATTGTGGCTTTAGTGTTTAAAAATGCCTGTAACTCCAAGTTTCTTTGACTAGCCTCCTTAAGTTCATACTACTTTCAGCATACTAGCAAAATATCACAGAAGAACTAATCTCTTAGAACATATTTGACAAGTGACTGTTAAGAGCCAGGTATGTTTATAAGAATTCTAGGATGTATCTGGCTGGGGCAGTGGAGACCCAAGCAGAGGCTGGGAGGTTGGACTAGCTCGCTCCACTGCTGTTACTCTATAAAATGTTTGCCTCAGTCAGACCCACAGGCCCCCATGCCAAACACTCAAGACATCTTAAACACTTACCTTGTAAGATTTTAAGTTTCATAGTTACTTAACAGTAATTATTAAATTTTAGCCAGTTAAATTCTTGTTTGGATGTGCTCTTTTAGGTCAAGAAACAGATTAAAGAAAACTTTATATCCCTGAAAGACATACTTCTCAACTTTGCATGATTACTATAGTTGGCTTCTTAAGGGAAAGTGAAGAAACAAACTTCTGTATCACAATGACTTACATGAATAACAACTGTGACCCATGACAGATGCCAATAATTACACTGTATGGCTACATTCTAAAATACACCATAATAAATACTTGGTATTTGTAGAGCTCAAAGCACTCTTTTACAGAGTTTTGGTTAATTTGTTTTTTTTCTTTTTTTTGAGACAGGGTCTTGCTGTGTTGCCCAGGATGGCCTCAAACTCCTGGGCTCAAGCAATCCTCCCACCACAGCCTCCCGAGTAGCTATAGTTTGGTTTTAATCAGTAAATATTTATTTAGCACTTGGACTGCTCTAGGCACTATAGGGTACAAAATTAGTTGTATTTTATCCTCTCATCCCAGCTCTGAGGTAGGTTTGCTAAAGCTGTAATATCACTAAGCAGTTTTTTCAATACTGTTCCCAAGGACAGATAACATTAGCAAATCCCAGAAGCATTTCTAAACACTTGTAGGAAAAATGAAGTTGGACTTAAAATTTTTAGTATCTTTGCCTTTTTTTTTTTTTTTAACATAAGTTTTACAAGATAATACATTTTTACAGACACCTGATGTGGATACAACTTTGCAACTTGGCAAAAGGCAAATCTTAACTTACATTATAATTACTTTGCTGCATCATACGCACCTCTGATTCTCAATTTTGGCAAGTACAACAGGTGAAGGGTTCTATTTAGTGTCCCATTCTGATGAATATGATGGTCTTGAACCCATTCTTCCTCCTCAAGCACGGTCATCCTCTGATGGCAACAGCAGACCCTCTGGGAAAGGAACTTTTCAGTTTCCAGAACTCCCCGGTGGCAGCCCAGTGTGGGATTTGAAGCATGACAAGAAAGGCGTTTTCTCAACATTTACTAAAGGAGAGTGGGGTGTTTCTATACTCTACTGATGGGGACTGTACATGAACACATTTAAACAATTACAACAATATTTTAGATAGGAAATATAGAATCTTATAAGAACATAATCTGTAAATTATAACTATTTTTTAGATAGCAAAGTTTAACAATAAAGCTACCAAAGTGTTTGAATTAGAAATAAACAGTAAAACATCTGTATTAATTATAATAGAGTTGACATTTGTTTATATTTTATCTTCAGTATTAACCAAGGAGTAGAATTTAGCCAGGGTTGCACTTTTTAGAAGTTGTATATAGTCTTATTTCTTTTACAAAAGGAAAAAAAAAAACATACTTTCCCCATAAAATTCCAGGTCTTACTATGTAAAATAACCATGCACTAATTCACGTTTAATCATTTTAGGGCATTTCCAGTAGGTAAGTGTCATAAAGAAGGAAGAGATATGGCTTCCACAGCTTCAATGAGGTGTAAGGCTAGACCATACTGCCCGTGTTTTTCTGGTAAAAGCTCAATTACTTTATTTACTAGTTTAGCTGTTATTGCAATTGGCACTTCAGTGTTTTGAAGATCCTGAGGGTCCTGCAAATGGGAGAGAAAAATAACCTATTATAGACAACTAAACAATTGTTCCTGACTTGAGTTATTACATAAAAATGCTTTTCTTTGTAACTAGGTGAATTAAATTTGTCAGATGTTCTTCATGACTGTTATTAACTAGGCACTTAAGAAAACATCCAATGGCCTGATCTCATTCTATTGTACTGACCATTGCTTTCAGCCAAGTACACAGTGTGGGTGGAAGTCTGGCAAGCAGCTCCATTCCTTCTTTTGTCTGGGTGTGGAGAAGCGCATGAGCCAGCCTTTGCCCTGTCAACACGAGTAGCTGAGAGGCAAGGACTTCTTTGTCATGAACCTGTAGAATGGCCTGAAGATAGGAACATGGAGAAATAATACAGTCACAGTGAACAGATTTGTTTATATTCTATAGGAAAGGGGCTCCCAGTGAAGAGATTCTAGTTGATTTTTGAACTGTGGCCATTTATCTTTTGGTTGCATACAACCAAAAGATAAATCCAAATCAAACAGCATTTAAACCCAAATTTCAGCTCCTTGGCTAATTGTTTTTCTCTCATCACCTCATTTTTCAATTCAGTATGGCTATTCAGTGTGTTGTTTTCAAGGTTTTGGCAAATAAAGGGAGTTTCACGTCAAGACTGTTTGAAGCCCTCTAATCGCTTCTTTTGATCTTTTTTTTTTTTGAGATGGAGTCTCACTCTGCCACCCAGACTGGAGGGCAGTGGTGCAATCTCAGCTCATTGCAGCCTCCACCTGCTGGGTTCAAGTGATTCTCCTGCCTCATTCTCACAAGCAGTTAGGATTACAGGCATGTGCCACTATGCGCAGCTAATTTTTTGTATTTTTAGTAGAGATGGGGTTTCACCATGTTGCCCAGGATGATCTCAAACTCCTGACCTCAAATGATCCACCCGCCGTGGCCTCCCAAAGTGTTGGGATTACAGGCATGAGCCACCACGCCCAGCCCCTCTAATGGCTTCTGAATACACTTAGAATAAGCATGGGCTGTATCCTAGGTAGTGGCCATGGCCTGTGCCAGCCTCCCTGCCTCATCCCATACTTCTTTATTTCTTGCTTACTATGTTTGCTCAGCCATTCCAGGTTTTCTAGTCCTGAACCTAGCCATTCTAGTCCCCACCCACCTCAGGACCTTTGTAATTCTTATCTCAAGCACTGTTTCCCCAGTTTCTTTTTTTTTTAAAGATGGGGTTTCACCATGATGGCCAGGCTGGTTTTGAACTCCTGACCTCAGGTGATCCACCCACCTCTGCCTCCCAAAGTGCTAGGATTACAGTCGTGAGCCACCACGCCCAGCTGTTCCCCCAGTTTCTGAGTAGCTGGCTGCTGTTTCTCCTTGGGGGCTCAGCTCAAACGTCACCTTCTGTCACCACCCTACTGTAGTATGATCCTGATTTTTTTTTTTTTTTAAATTTTAAAAATAATTTCTTTTCCTTTTTAGAGATAGGGTCTCGCTATATTGCCCAGACTGGTCTTCAGCTTCTGGGCTCAAGTGATCTGCTGCCTCAGCTTTCCAAAGTGCTGGGATTACAGGTGTGAACCACAACGCCTGGCCCTGTTTATTTTTTTCATAGCACTTACCATGCAATGCAAAATTTAGCATGCTTTTCTGCTTCTACCAGCAGACTATCAAGTCCATGAGGAAGGAACCTTGTTTTGTTTACTGCTATATCCTTGTGCATACAGCAGGCCTGGCATACTGTAGGAATTATTTGATTATAATTTTATGTTTAAAAATACTCTATTGTTCTATTTTTGTACCTAGATGTTCTAACAAAAGGAAGAGCAAAAGGTTTCATTGGAGCCTTTACTGATTCTTTATTCCAACTATCAATTTTATAACGAGTCCAATTAACATTCAAAGGGTTCATGATTACCTCTTCTCCTAAGTGGTCAATTCCATAGTTGTATAGTTCCCCCACATAATGCCTTCTGACAACATCTTCACTAACTTGAAGGTGATGGGCTAAATCCACAGCTAGAGCCGGCCAATCTTGGTCTTTCCCAAAAGGAGTGGGTGTTGCCTCTTCTGTGGGATATTTGACCTTTGTGGCTGAATGCTGAGCCTGGACAGCTCCACTGACAACTTTCAGTAAGAACTTGAAAACGGAGAGATATAGCAATGTATTGTTATTGTTTCATTTTAAAATACCTAAATCAAAGTATTGTTGGCTTTTCTGTCACTTACAAGTGGCTTTTCCATTAAATTGTTTAATTATCAAAAAAGGAACACGTAATTTAAAGGTAAACAACTAGCTCTCAAAACACTTTGAAAGTGGTCATTCTTTTAAAAGCCAGCTAGATTTTTCCTTTACTGTTTTTCTTTCCCCCAAGAAACAAAAACAAAATCCAATAGCTGTAATTTACCTGTTGTCGTACAGAAATAAAATTTGGATCCATTTCCCCACTAGGTAATAACTGAATTGAAGTTAGGTCTTTGAAAAATGCATTTTTTCCCTAAAGAGAAAGAGAGCAAGAAAACTGATATCAGGGTGTGGATTATTAAGTGGGGAAAGGGAGAAAGATTTTTTAAAACTTAAGACATTTAAGAATAACTCATGGTTGATTTTTATTTCTCCTTGAACAATAAGATTTTAGAATTCTTCCTTTAATTTTTATAACAATTATCTAGTATGTAGTAGACAGCCTTTAAGATGATCCTCAGTGATCCCCTCCTCCTGGTATTCTGTTTCCTATGGTCTTCTCTCCTTGCCTGTGGGCAAGGTGACTTGCTGCTAGCAAACAAGCAGGTAGAGGTGATAGCATGTTACTTCCAAGACTCTGTTCCAGAAGACTGCTTCTGCCTTGAGGCACTCATACTGGCTCTTACTTGCTCTGCAGGAAGCCAGGTTCCATGTCGTGAGCTGCTGTATGGAGAGGCACATGTGGCAAATAACCGAATCTTGCCAACAATTGTGCTTAGAAGTGAATCACCCTTTCCCCATCCCAGTGGAGCTTTCAGATGCAGGGCCTTAACTACAGCCTCATGAGAGACTAAGCCAGAGGCATCTAGATAAGGAGAACACAGATTACTAACCCACAAGAACTGTGAGATAATAAATGTTTGTTATTTTCAGCCAAGTTTTGGGATGATTTGCTTTGCAATAATAGCCAAGTAATATATATATATATATATATATTACTTGGCTAATATATATATATATGTACTCTGAATCCTTTTTTTTTTTTTTTTTGACAGAGTCTCACTCTGCTGTCCTCAACCTTCCAAAGTGCTGGAACTACAGATGTGAGCCACGATACCTGGCCCTGTTTATTTTTCATTAAATTGTATAGTAATCACACAGTGGCACGATCTCAGCTCACTGCAGCCTTCTCCTCTTGGTTCAAGAGATTCTCTTCTCCCATCTCAGCCTCCCAAGTAGCTGGGACTACAGGTGTGTGTCACCACACCCAGGTTAATTTTTTTGTATTTAGTAGAGACGGGGTTTTACCATGTTGGCCAGGCAGGTCTCAAATTCCTGACCTCAGGTGATCTGCCTACCTCAACTTCCCAAAGTGCTGGGATTATGGGCATGAGCCACTGTGCCCAGCCTCTGAATCTTTAAAAACACTTGTTGAATTGTTTAAAAACACTTGATTTGAAAGAACAGATGTGTGTCTAAAAAGTAAAAACAGAATGTCAGAAAACAGGATTTCAGAAGTTCCTTGGAAGGAAATGTAATATACAGCAAAGAGCATTGGCCTTTAAATTGAAAGAAGCTCACCACTTCCAACCAGGTTGCCTCAGGTAAATGACCCACAATCTTGCGTTACTGTTTCTTCTGCAAGCAGGTCACATCCTAGGTATCTTCCAATGTGCCTTCCATACCTAATCATCTGTGATTCTAGGTCACCTAGTGTGATTGCCAAGTAGATTAAAGCTACCCATCCTTTAGTGATAAGAAAAACCAGACTTCCAGGGCAACCCGTGACAATCTGGACATCATTGATACACTCACTCACAATCTGTTCCTTGGAAGTTCCCACCTGGTGGTCTTAGCTATAAAGGTCTATAACAGTACCATTTCTTATTTACCGTATTCCAGACACTGCTAAGTACTTCATGTTGAATACAAGGAACCCTCACAACAACCGTGAGGTCAGCGCTAGTGTCACTGCTACTTTCTGAATGAGAAAACTGAGGCTAAGAAAATCGAAATAATTCTAGTTAGCAAATGGTAGCACTGGGATCGTTTCACTAGCCAACCAACCATACTACATCTCTGCAGATGAGAGTCACCCAGCTGTCTCAGGTAGTCTTGGCATGATAGGGGTTGAGACTAACAACGTCAGTATGCTCGTCCAGTTCTGGATGTGTTCTGGTTTGGCAAAGACCTCTGTGGGGAATACCAAGCTGGGAACTTTATTTTGACATTTCTTTCTCTTTTTTAATCTTTACTCCTATCCTTTATAATCTCAAAGGTACACTAACTCATTCAAAATCTATACTATTTTTTTTTTCTTTGAGACAGAGTTTCACTCTGTGGCTCTGTTGCCGGTGTGATCTTGGCTCACTGCAACCTCTGCCTCCCAGGTTCAAGCAATTCTCCTGCCTCAGCCTCCCCAGTATCTGGGATTACAGGCACATGCCACCGCACCCAGCTAATTTTTATATTTTTCATAGTGACAGGGTTTTACCATGTTGGCCAGGCTGGTCTTGAAATCCTGACCTCAAGTGATCCACTCACCTCAGCCTCCCAAAGTGCTGGGATTACAGGTGTGAGCCACTGCCCCCGGCTGTGAGTCTCTCATTTAAGGGTGAAATAATAAGCCCACTTTCCCACAAGCCTAAGCTGTGTTTTCTAACCTAGTTTCTATTAATAAAAAGCTAAGTAATAAAGTTGACATTTTTATCTCCAACAGTCTGAGTCCTGTCTGTCTCTCAAAATTTGATACTTGCATGGGGAAGGAAAGAGTTTTACTATCCACTGCAGCTAAATGGTGAAGGTTACAACAGAGTATGTAGAAACATATTCTATTCACAAGTTTGGACTCAATCCTGCAGAGGAGTCAAAAAAACTTAGGCATAGAACTAATACAATTAAACCTGTCTCTTAGGAAGACAGCTCTTGTAGCACTAGACTAGAGAGAGAGAGAAACTGGAGGCAGGGTGATTAGGAAAGGGCTGTTGTACTAGCCAAGGGAAAGATGATTGCCCCTAACTAGGGGTATAGTCATGGAGAGAAATGGACAGGTATGATCTATAGATGAATATACAAGAATGAATTTACAATGAAGAAAATTGGCTTGAAGTAAGGAACTGGTGAGATTATTTAAAGGTTTCTATTTTTTGCCAGGGCAAAAAGGATGACATCATTAATCAAATAACCAAACCAGGGAATTCAGAAGGAACAGCAAATTTAGGCTAGGGGCAGGATGGGGTTGTGGGTTTACAGATATATTTTAAGATAGAAGGTGTCTGAAGTCCTATAGGGCACTCAAAGAGAAAAGTTCAATAGAAATGTGTGCCTAAAAACTATGGGTATTGGTCAGGCCTAGAGATATACAAGAGGCAGAAAATGAGTCTGTCCAGGAATAATATGGAAAATGAGAAGGGCAGAGACAGCTGAGAGGGGAGCAGTATGGAAGGTAAATAAAAAGAACAGAATCAAGCAGGGAATAAGGGAGTCAGAACCTCACATGAAATTACACAAGTCACAAAAGTACTGAACAGCTTCTATTAAATAAGAAAACCCATGTGTCTGCTAAGCCTGCAACTCCAAAATAGCTTTGAAATCCTTTGAGGTACTTACCTTACTATCAAAAAGTGAAAGTGGCTTCACGGTCTTCAGAGAAAACCTCATGACTGCATACAAGATGGAGCACAGGATGGAGTGGTGCTCCACCAGTGGGTAGTGGATGTGCTTCTGATCAAGGGCCAGTTCCACTATGGAGATTGGTCCTTCCACGGAGAGCCATGCATCCTCAGTATCCAGCACAGGCATCTGTATTTCATCCCTGTTAACATCTGCCTAAGGGTTTTAAGAATGGAGGACTGTGTTCAGCAATGGATAAAAGATAGTGCACAAATACCCTAATAAGTTTATTAGCAGCAAAGTGCAAACTCATATTGTACACTGTCCCAAATTATAATAAAAAAACACAAAGCCTAATTTCAATAAGAATTTAATAGGAAAACATCACTACCTTTAGGGCTTAAGTCAAAATTTAGAAATGAATGAATGAAAAACAACCTCATTAAAATAGTCATTTATTAAATGCAATGGTTTGCAGAATATTTATATCTTAGGAGCAGTTCAGAATGAAAATACACCTCTTTTACCTCCATTAAGATCTGAAGAAGATCCAAACAGCAGCCAAGGAAAGATGTCATTGCTGTGTCACTCATTCCCACATCCTGTTTTTAAAAAAGGAACATAATTAGGCCCTGCAGGAAAACTGCTATAGTTAATATCAGAAAAACAAGAACCAGAATAGAATACACCTGTTCAGCTGACTTTCCACATTGAATAGACAGGCAAAAATTAGAAAGTCAAGGCTTTAAGCATATTTAAGTTCCTTCTTTTAGATTATTTACTGTCAGCCAATATTAAAGTCAAGCTTTAAAAAGTGGTACAAATAATGACTTTTAAAAAGTAGTGTTCTGACTGGGCACAGTGGCTCACACCTGTAATCCCAGCACTTTGGGAGGTTGAGGCGGGCGGATCACGAGGTCAAGAGATCAAGGCCATCCTGGCCAACATGGTGAAACCCATTTCTAATAAAAAATACAAAAATTAGCTGGGCATAGTGGCATGCGCCTGTAGTCCCAGCTACTCGGGAGTCTGAGGCAGGAGAATTGCTTGAACCCAGAAGGCAGAGGTTGCAGTG